CCAGCTCTGACATCAGTAGTTCCTGAGCCTGTTTCCTCATCGGAGAAATGGGAAGGACAGCCCCTGCTTCACAGAGATTGTTGTGAAAATTAATAGAGGTAGGAAGTGTCAGTTGCCCATCACAGGGCTTGGAACATATTGGGGAGTAAAAAATGGGAGCTGTTATCTTCAGCAGTTGGAAGAGGGGGGAGGGCTGAGTATGAGAAATGCGGTCCTTCTCTGTCTACTCACCTACTTGACGTCACACACTAGGCATGTTATGACATAGACTGGCACAGACACTGAGCCTTCAGGTTCTGGAATCACACTTTCTGGGTTCCAGTCTCAACGATGTCACTACTGTTTGCTGTGTGAGCTTTGGCAAGTGACTTAATCTCTCTGAGCCTCAGTTCCCTCACCTGTGAAACAGGATTGATGAAGAAACCTACCTCGTAGATTGTTCTCAACACTGAATGAAGTACTGCTCATACACAGCTTGGTATGAGGCTGGCAGGTGCAAGACTTAACAAATATTTGCTAGAATCAAGAACTCCGGTTCAGGGGCTGAGCAGGGGGCTGTCCGGAGCCCTTTCCCTCCCTGCTCACTGTCCTGGGTCCCCTGTACTTGGAAGACCTGCTGCTGGACGGTCCAGGCACCCACAGCCTTGGCAAAGCTCAAGGATATGATCTTCAATTTCTGATGCCATCTTGTCACAGTTGACTCCATAGTCCTTGTAATCATCTAAAAGAGATTGGGGAACACAGGCATCAGCCAGGCATGACCTTGGCAGTGAGGCCTGCTTGTACCAAGGACTACAGCATCCGGAACCCTCCCATGGCACTGAGAAAGGCCACATCTCATCTGCCCCTGGGCAGCCCTTCCCTCCCCATCCCCGGCCCAGGCCTTCTCACCATCCGCCTTCAAGGCCGCCGAGAGCATCTCCACACACTTGTCCCGGACAGCGTCCCCTGTGAGGTAGCAGGGTGCCAGGAGGCAGATGGAGGGGGCAAAGGTGGGGCTCGAGGGGCTGCTGGGTGTTTTGGGGGAGGTCTCCGCTTTCGATTTGCTGCTGTTTGATCTGAGGATGACAATCAGTAATTGACTTTCTGATACTAAGCAAATAAAGCATTTATTGAGCAATGATCCCTTTAATCTCATAACAAGCCTATGAGGTAGGAACTATTTTAGGTACTTGATATGGATCATCTCATTTAATTCTCATAACCCCACGAGGTTGATACTATTCTTTTTTTTTTTTAATACTCAACTGAACTCAAACCATGACTAGCTACAGTACTAATATGAAGTTAACATGCAAACTGTTTTCTGTGGGTTTTTAAAATATGTTTTTATTGATTTCAGAGAGAGGAAGGGAGAGGGAGAGATAGAAACATCAATGAGAGAGAATCATTGATCGGCCGCCTCCTGTACGCCCCCTACTGGGGATCAAGCTCAAAACCTGGGATCAAACCAGTGACCTCTTGGTTCATGGGTCAATGTTCAACCACTGAGCCACACTGGCTGGGCTACAGATGCATTTCAAATAATGATACTCAGGTCACACATCTGGAAACCAGTAGGACCAGAATGAAAACCCAGGCAGTTGAACTCTGGTACCCAGGCTCTTAACCTCCCACTGTGCTCTACTGGTTACAGAACGGTGTAACAATGCCAAAAACTATATCCATTAGGGACTGCAAGAGCTCCTCTCTCTCTCTCTCAGCTCTCATTGAACCATTTACTCACTCATTCAATAAATAGTTCAATAAATATTAATTAGGCACCTATTCTCAGGTACTGTGCTGAGAACAAGGGATAAAGCAGACAAGGCAGAAAAGCTCCCTCCCTCAAGGAGCTTATAGTCTACTGACTAGTGAACGCACTACCATTTAAGAGCGCCGGCTCTTACCATGTACCAGGAATGGTGCTAGGCACTGTAGGAGCACTTTCTAATTTACTCCTCACAGTAGTCCTAGGAGGTAAATACTGTTGGCATCCCCATTTGCAGCCGAGGAAACAAACCTAGAGTTATATCACTTGAGATTTGAACTCAGGCCTGTCTGATTCCAACCCTAACACTCTTTTTTTTTTTTTAAAAAAAGCATGTTTTATTGATTTTGGAGAGAAAGAGAGGAAGGGCAAGGGAGAGAGAGGGAGCTGCCTCCTGCATGCCCCCTACTGGGGATCGAGCCTGAGCGTGCCCTGATTGAGAACTGCACAAGCGACCTCTGGGTGCATGGGTCGATGCCCAACCAACGTAGCCACACCAGCCAGGGCCTAACCCTACCACTCTTAACTCCTATGATACACTGCCGAAGAATGATCCCACTTTGTTTTTGGCTTAAAAAAAACTCCACATAAATAAATAAATAATAAAATACAATACTGAACTGTGTGGCTTAAACAACAGAAATTTATTTCTCACAGTTCCAGGGACTGGGAAGTCCAAGATCAAGGTGCTGGTCAGTTTAGTTTCATGTGAGGGCTCTCCTTCCTGGCTTGTAGATGGCCACCTTCTCGCTGTATCCTTACATGGCAGGGAGAGAGAGTGAGTGAGCTCTCAGATCTCCTCCCATAGGACACTACTCCTATTGGATCTGCTTCACCCATATGACCTCTGTTAACCTTAATTACCTCCATAAAGGCCCTACTTCCAAATTCAGTCACATTGAGCTTCAACATATGAATTTCAGGAAGGAGGAGTAGATAACATTCAGACCAGAACACCATATTAGTAACAATGATCTCTCTGAGATGGGATTATAGGAGATTTTCATTTTCTTCTTTTGCTTATACATGTCTTCTAAATCTACGAGAAATATATCTACTTTAATAATGAGAAACATTTTTTTAAAAAAACATTTGACAATTATGAGTGGTAACTGTGCTGATAGCTTGGACAGGCTTCCTGTCTTCCTGTTATTAAGGAGCTGCCAGCAGCCCTAGCCGGTTTGGCTCAGTGGATAGAGCATCTGCCTGTGGACTGAAGGGTCCAGGTTTGATTTCCAGTTAAGGGCACATGCCCAGGTTGTGGGCTCGATCCCTAGTTGGGGGCATGCAGGAGGCAGCTAATCAATGATTCTCTCTCATCATTGATGTTTCTATCTCCCTCTCCCTTTCTCTCTGAAATCAATAAAAGTGTA